CATTAATATTATCTATCCTATTTCCAAGTAATACACTGAGGGTCAGCAAGTCGTTGATCTGTTCCAAGAAGCACGTTCCCACATCAAAAATCTACCTTGCTAATACCCGGGGTAACTACATAATTAATAGTTGCTGTCCTTGATGGAAGCCTGCAATGGATGACTCAGGAGGGCTCCTCCAGCCTCTATTTTCGGCTTCTCCAGAACGTGAGGCTCGATCATTAGCTGCTGGCTTTGATTCAGTATCTCGATTCAGATCCTTCAGTCGGTAATTAATCTCCCAACAACGGAACATAATCGACTTATCGGATAATCGATCCGTTTAGTATGACCGTTATCATTACTGCGGAGGCCTATTCGATTTTGGTTCCCTGGATAGCGGCCAGCTGCAACTGCCTACAGTCAACAGGGACGGCCGCCCATGTCTGCCCCTACATTGACCTCCTTTTGGATTATAGCCAATATTCCGCTGTCGGTTCCAAACTGGTAACCTGCTCCTCAGAGTTTCGTGTTTTAAAACTTCTTAAATCCTTTTATTATGTGAGAAATAATAAGAATATTCCTAAAACCATAGTAAAACACAGTCATAGCTATTGCGAGGAACTCGTCCTTGGGAAAATCGAAGGTTTAACAAAGTCATATTGCAGTTCTTTGTCAGGAAGTTTGAATTAGTTTCAGTACTAAAGCAGACGTCAGGTGATGAAAGAGGAAGTAAAATAAATCCGCGACCGCTATCATTGCGACATTCAGTTGCTTTTTATTCGGATAAAAATATGACTAGAAAGGAAAGACGAATGATGTTTTCAAGCTTGGGGGATGGGGCGTTTTTGTTTTCATTTGCAGTGTTCACCAACTTCTCCGCATACGTGACCATGTCGGGTTTTCTTTTCTCTCCTTAAAAGTTTTACTTTCATGTCTTTCTCTTTTCAATGCCGACTCTACGATTCAGTAACACCCCAAGTGACTTTCTTGAAAATTCTGTGATCTAACTGTTTGGAGATTCATTGTTGTTGAATGCTCGCATGAAGGATCGTGTGAACTCAGAATAGATAGGAATGAGCTATCTCAAGTCTAGTTACGAAATTAACTAAATTTATTATTATTTTATATGATAAGGGAATATAGTATCAAGGTTGGAGTAAGAGTACTGATAATGCGTGTAAAGACCTGTTATCTTCTACTCGGTTTATCCCTCCACATGGGAGGGCAAGGGAGTGTCCAGTCTACCGAGGAAGTCTGACCCCCAACAGGCAGCAGCCCACGTGCCTGGAACTTGTCCAAATAATATGCTACTGCCCATGTCACTGCCCGCGTTGCAGCGATACAATCAGATAAAAGCAATGGGAAAATGAGTCAGGGAATATCAAATCTTGAAGTAAATTTTAACATAATACAATGTAAAAAAAAGTACTAATTAAAAAACCGGAGAAGGAGAAATTCTGGTTCTTCTGAAGTCTTCATACCATACATTTACAAAAATGGGAATTACAAGAATACATCTTAATTCTTTAATGACGTCCAACAAAATGTATAGTGTGGAGAAGAATTTATTTAAAAGACAGAAACTGTTTTTAGTGTCAAACGAGGGGGTTAGAACGATTGTATAGAAAGTTAATTTTAATTTTTGTCCAGAAAGAATATTTTGTAAACGCATTTGATAGTATATGCTACACATATTGTTTAATTTCACAGTATGCACTTCAATGATATATTTTAAACATAAATATAACATAAAAGAAGGCAAAAATAAATGATAATATTTATTTTTACAGGCCGTCATCAGGGCTAAGAAAAGAACCAGATAACAAGGTATGAGAAACATAAAAATTACAGTAAAATGAAGTTGTTAGAATAATGACAATAGTAAGAACAAGAGACAAATAATAACAACAGGTACAAAGTGTGGAATGATGAAGTAAACATAGTCAAAAAGGTGACATAAGTATTGTATATATACTTCCATAAATATATACTTCATATACTTATATATGGAATATATAAATATATATTCCATAAATATACTTCCATTTCTTATATAACTTCATATTTTTCTGTTTTACATTTTATTCTAAGATTCCCTTTACAATACTTATGCCACCTTTTTGACTATGTTTACTTCATCATTCCACACTTTGTACCTGTTATTATTATTTTTCTCTTGTTCTTACTATTGTCATTATTCTAACAACTTCATTTTACTGTAATTTTTATGTTTCTCATATCTTGTTCTTTTCTTAGCCCTGATGATGGCCTGAACTTCAGGTTGAAACGTCGGCATATGTAAAAATAAATATTATCATTTATTTTTACCTTCTTTTTTGACTGACCACCCCAACTATTCTTCTCTTCATAAATATAACATCTTATATAGTATTTCTAAAAGGTGTTTCTTTGTAACATCGCCGCCATAACTTCGTCAATTTTTCATCAAATCCAATGATTGAGCCCTCATTTTAAAGATATTCTCCACCTTCAGATGGGAAAAATAGTCACATACCTCCGAAATATAATGAAGAAAAGTTATGAAGGAAAAGAAACTTTATTTGCCAATAACTAAAAAATAATACATTTTTTACTTGATTGTACCACCCATGATTATTAGATAGATTACTAAATTACCTAAAAAACAAATTTTTTTTGTAAAAATCGGACAATTATTAACAAAGATACAGTCCATCTGTTTTGGTATACTTAATATTCTCTCCCTCTTTAAAGATACTCCATTTACAATTCTACTGCCCCCCTTTTTTTTCTTGGCTGATATATACGTTATTATTTCTTAAAGACATTTTTTTGTTTGTACGTTTTATATTTTTTAATAATTTAGAAAGTCCATGATCGAGGCTTCATTTTGAATGTTACCTTTCCATTCAGCGGTTAGAAATAGGTTCCAGTAAAGCAATTTGTACAAATATTTCGGTGGAAAAACAATTAATTCGTACCTTACATAATATATAGAATCTACTTATAAACAAAATTTTCTGCGAATTATTCGCATGGGCCAACTAGGTAATGTATATTTGAAGATTTTCCAAACAAAAAGGAAAATGAATTAAATTTACTGTTATTCTAACCTTCTCAAATACCATAACATAAAAATAGATGCCATAGATAACAATAAGCTATACAATAATTTATAACATACGTATAGATAAAACATAAATTTGATAATGGATAGATAAGTAAATAATCAAAAAAAAAATGCTAAAAGTTAAAATAAAATTAATGAAAACATACTAAACCAACACATTATTGTCTACTTTGTATAAACAGACCGAGGAACTCTGAAAAGCAACAGAAAGAGGTTTTAAATTTTTATTTGTACTTAACAAATTGATTTTGGAACTCACTTTGTGAAATATATAATTACGAGAAAATTTGATGTAGTTTACTGTATCACTACGGTGGCATTATCTTTTAAAAATATAAATAACTGTTGGGTTTTAAATAAACGATTTATAATTAAGAATAAACTAAGAATTTTTGTAATTTTTTAAAATTAGTATAAATTAATCTAATTTATATCTGCTTGCTATGTTATTAAATTTTATTTTATGAATTCCTTTCTTTCAAACTCATAATTTTGAGCAATGTTTAAACAAATAAATATTCAACAAACACTGTTGAGATTAAAATCAGCACTATTATCGCCTCATTTTTAGTTTTATTTATATATGCCTAACATATTGAAATATTAAATATTACTATTTAAGAATTTAATCACGTGTGAAGCCTTCCCAATTAGTTCCTATTCCATTCAATATTAGACATGTAAATTATTGTCAAAGTGAAACTGAGAGATGGGAAATAAGGTTCTTAATAGACCTGGTGAGATACCAAGGGACTAAGTTTATTTACAGAAAATCTGTATACAGAATATTATCTAGAATTTGGTAAATATTTCGTTTATTCTAGACTAGCCAGCTGGATCTTAAAGAGTGAATAGGAACTATTACTAATGAGTGGCCTTAGGGTCTCGACACACTCAGCGCCACCTGCACCTTAAAAATGGATACCACGACCTTCATTTTATATGTTAATTACATATAATTAATTTTTTCCCGATAATTGAAGGTTCTTTTTATATCATCACTTATTTTCAGAAATTGGGAACAAATTATCAAGTAGCTAAACTTTCAAATATGAATAAATACTTTCCAAACGATTATTCAACTGTTAAATTACTTATTTTCAATAAGGACTCATCGTTTATCGTTAACTATCTTATGTTGATACTCACAGTAATCATGTTGGAAGGAATAGTATCACAGGGCTAACTTACGATAACCGTTCCCAAATCCCCTCCATGAAATAAAGATGTTCTTGGTAAGATCATGATGTTCTTCGTCATATCTGATGAATTATGCCTTTTTTTTTTTTTATTGCATCAAACTTATAAACATATATATATAGATATGACCCATCCTGACTGAAATGAATTCTAAGAACCTTACATAAAACAATCGGATGCAAATCATTTAATTTATATATTATTTGACATTTATTCGATAGTGTTTATATTTAAGATTGTATTATTTAGGCAAACATTTCTCTATACTAGTTTTTTTTTTAAATTTATTATTTATGAATATATACTTATACGTCAATGGTCACATGATGGACATAGGAAGGGGAAGACAAAGTGGGGCAACTGTCTTCTACCTTCCAATATGAAAAAACAAACACAAATAAAATAACGTAAAAGTATTGAGAGCTCCACGTTGATTGTTAGTATTGTAAAATTTTGAATGGAGCTAATTACGAACTTAAAGGACACCCTCTACTTGAAAAAAAAATTAAAAGTCTCTTCTCCCTTCCCTTTCGAAGCAAATGTTTTTAAGCCTGACTAAGCCATCGAATCACCGTAATCCCTAGCCATGTAAACCAATTTTACTAATTAATAACATTTTTCTTTATAATTTTTTTTTTTATAAAATTAATTAATTTAGCTGTTATCCACAATTGTAGCTATTCTCTTGGCTAATTAAGAGTTTTCTTTTCAGAACCTGGAGATGAGTGCAGGCGACTTCCCAGAAGACCTCTCTTCGGTAGAGCTGATTGGAGGCAGGGAGTTGAGGTTCCACACCGAAGTATTCTCTAAGCTGACCTACCTCCACTTCGTCAGGATCTTCAATGTCCCAAAGGTCCTGGTCCAGGAACATACCTTCGCAAATATGTCTTCCTCAAGAAAAGTCAGGTGAGTCGTGGCGACATCGCGGCTACTAATATGTTTTTCTGTAGTCTTATTATTCAACAGACAAGTACAACATATAATTTTTAGAGAGAGTAATTAGTCGACTGATCAATTATTAGGATGAAACAAAATTGTCAGGATTTACAGTCAAGAATTTTTCTTCGGTTAACCAACGGTTCGATCCAAAGATATGGGTCATCCTCAGGGCTATCTTTTGGAAGTCGAGACAAGAACTCAGTTCGGTATGAGTTCAAGAATGAGTTCCTGTCTCGACTCCCAAAAGATAGTCCTGAGGATGACCCACATGTTTGGGTCGAAACGTCTGCTAACCTGAGGAAAATTCTTGACTGTAAATCCTGACAATTTTGTTTCATTCTATAACTTATAATACTCAATTCCTGATTAGTCTCCATGTTGCTATGAACCTTAGTTTCTGCTTTTAGTTCCTCTAATTTTTAATTCCTTCCTACCGCTAAAAGCTCCTGGTTCCTTCAAACAAACATTGTTTCCATTTATTTACTTACGAGGACTTGTACATATTTATTGTTATCTGATGAACAAAGATAAATCTACTTTAGTGTTGTTTTTCTTCTAAAAATGTCTTCTTTTTTTTTACAGGTTTGAATTCGAAGGCGGTTCAAGCCTGGTATTAGAAGGTAGATCCTGGAAGAACGTGGCAGGGGAGATTTCCGTATCAATCAGCAGGTTCAGCCAGGTCACCATTCAAGCACAAGCTTTCTCGGGACTCTTTGATCTCACTGTTTCTCAGGTTGCCAAATTCGAGCTACTTGAAGACGCTTTTTTTATCGAAAGACCTCCTCGTTATAGTAAAGAATTCAAAGTTGAATCGGTAAGTATTTTAACATTCATTTTAGATACTTGATTTAATAATAAATTATTTTAGTAAAAAATATATCCTAAACGGTTATTGAATTTTATTGACTGAACCTAATTAATAATTGCGAGATTTAGAGATTTTATATACATAAATGCAAGAAAAAAATCATGATTATTAATATTCACCACGAAATTATTGCTTAATATTGCTCTATATGCTTGAATATAAAAAAAAATTATAAATTAAAAAGTGGAAATGAAGAAAGCTAATTCTTTTAATGTTTTACAAGGCAGAGCTATACAACTAATAAAACCCATCAATAATGTTAATAATTATAAAAAGAAATATAAGATATCTTTAGGTTTTATTTACTGAACATAAGTGTAACTGTAATCACGATTCCGTGATCAATGATTACCTTAAACCTGGGGTTGGATAAACGCAAAGGAGATCTAAACGTTTGAATTATAGGACCCTAAAAAAAGTTTTGAGGAAGTCCAAACATATAGATAAGGTGCCACTTAAGCACCATAAATTCTAACATTTTTGTAAGACTATTTTATGGTTTTCTTAACCTTTCCGGTCTTTTAAGTTAAAATATTTTAAGACCTTGTGGCCCTTCAAAGGGACAGTAGCATATTCTGCTGTTAAAAATCAGCGTGTTTTTAATATTTTTATACAGTGGAAGTAGCACCAACTAATCGATGTTGAATAGTGTTTCTTTGGCCCTACAGCCTTTTACACATATAAGATTCTTGGTAATTAAGAAGACGCAGTTGTAGTAGCAGAAAAATAACAAATGATAGAAATTACACAAAAAGTGATAAAACGTCAAATAAAAGAGTTATATTTATCACAGACCTTTATTTATTTAAAAAAAATGTAGTTTCATTTTTTTGCGTTACAGAACTTTTTTTTAATCCATCAGAACACTTTTAATTATTTATCCTTTACTATAACCGATTTAACTTTTTCTTAAAGTTCGTTTTTTTAATGTTTTTAAGATATCCTTCTCATATCCTGTAACATATAAAAATTATACCTGACGTGAATAAGTGGTGACCCCTACGTGATTTTTGTGAATTTGTATCAATTGTAAATTTTGAGTGATTTTTTTAAATCACTCGTAAATTTGCATTTTTGCTCTTTTTTCTATATACCACGTGTATAGAACTGTAAATATAGTAGAGCCTAAGAGCTATTATTCAACATAGATTAGTTAACGCTGCTATACGTGAATGATATCGTTCAAATAAAAAAAAAACTTTCTATCTCTAAAAATTACGTTATTTCACGTAATAACATTGAGTAACATCGGTATAAAATTAAATGTTACCCAGTTCCCATGGCTCAGCGTGCCTTATAGGTTTCTGGCAGCGGGAATGCTAGAACAGTTTCCATTTGGAACTAGAACAAAAATATTCCAAAAAATAGCTAACGCGCTCTTGTACTCAACAACAATATAAAATGGAGTCGTGGTCCTGAAAAAACTTATTAATTAAATAAGCTAAGAGATACATCTCTAATTTGGATGATCACTGCAGCAAGGAAGTCCATAGTACCAACCACTGTTTAGGTTGACGTATTATATCAGTGGAACCATCTCTTAGCTGTGTTTGTCACTTCTTTCATTCACTCAGATATGGCCGATCAGAGGTTACATAATATATATTCTTGTTTCATATTAAAGTAATACGTAATGATAAATTATAATTTCAGAAAATATCTTTGAAGAAGAACATAAATTGAAAATCATTTATATTTTAACTTTAAAATAAATAAAATTATACGAACCGTGTTTGTGTTTTTTGGTTAAAGAATAGGACGATATGATTCATTATGAAAATATACTTATGAAAATTATTTGTACGAAAAATTGGGGAGTAAAAAATACCAACCCGTTTGTCTTAGATATTCTTATAACAAGAGTTTTGATGTTTTGTTGCAGATCATTTTGGACCAAGTGAAACTGGAAAATCTCGAACGAAAAACGTTTTACTCATCAGCCCATCAAGTTAAAATACGTAACAGCCATATCAAAACGGTGAGGACTGATGCCTTCAATGCAATAAGCTTAGCGCAAGTAACCATTGAAAATACGACTATCGACAAGGTGGAACATGGAGCATTTTCAGGAAGAACCATTCTCCATACCCTCACCTTGGACCGAGTGATATTACACGAATTAGAATCAGGGGCTGTCCTTTCAGGCACTACACACCTCAACATCCATCATTCTGGGTAAGTAATTAGTCCATCTTTAATTCAATATTGAAAAAACAAGCTTTAAGAATGTAACAGAACAAAGAATAACCATGTTTCACTTCTAATGCTTTTTTTTTTTTTTAATTACAGATTTGGAACACTACAGCCTGGGACCTTCAATGTGACAGTTGCCATTGCTTCAATCAGTGACAATACTTTCAACAGACTCCTCAGCAGAGCAATGATATTAAAGCAGTGGGACAGATTAAGTATATATAACAACACATTTAAAAAACTGGACCCATATGCCTTTTCTTCGGAGGGATTAATTAGCAAAACAGCACCGATAATTAATTTTTCAAAAAATAATTTGTATGATCATCCAACCAATGCATTTGATTTTCAAGTAAACAATGAGCTAAATTCTTCTATTGGTTATAATTTTTTCCATTTCAAATGCCGGTGCGATATGGCAATACCCCTTAAGGCAATGATTAAGCCATATTCATTGAGCGAGATGCTTTTCCGAAATGGTTTATGTGATGTAGACCATTCACTTTCAAAGTGTTTTGATTTACCTGAAGGATTTTACAACATTTTAAATTTCACAGAGCGGATTTGTTCAGTTAATGAAGTAATTCTCTGTGAGGAAATTCAGAGGGATGCTGCAATCCCACCGCAACTGCCTGGCATATCTTCAGCAGTTGATACTATGTTTGAAAATAATGTTGGCAGAGAAAGAAAGATTCTCGGCTCAATATTTATTATTGTCTTATGTGCTATGGTAGTAATGATGATTCTATCAGCAGTTATGTGGATTGGAAGAAATGGCTACTGTACCAAAGCCAGGATTTTCCTTTTGCCATCGACCAATTCATACATTAGCTGTATAACCAGATTTTTTTCGGGAAGTGGCATGACTCCAACTGGTTCAGCGCATTCAATATCGAGACTTTCGATTCATGAATATGCTGAGCTCCAAAGGAAGATTGGAGAAGCTAAAGAAGAAGAAGAAATCCCACTAGAAGATAAGGCAACTCAAACATTACCAGAGGAACTGACCCAAGAGCTTTTACAATCCTTGCAAGAGAAATTAAATGATCCCGAAAATTATAGTGAAGCTAGAAACATGATTGAGCATTTGTATGATCTCATTAAAGTGGAAGAAAGTTGTAATAAAAACTACAAAGATTCTGCTTCTATAAATTTAGATGATTTAGACAAAGAAAATGAAAATGTATATGATGTCATAGTGCCAAAAAAGAAAACTATTTCAAGAGAAAAGAAGGAAACTGTGAGTACGGGTACAAGAGCACCTTCTCCTGACAAGTTATTGCCATATACAGTGTACGGTGAAACGAAAAAATTACAGCCTGCGGTATGTGACTACATGGAGCCTAAGGACAGACAAGTTCACACTTACACAGAACTGCCTAACAGGACTCCTGGACCAACCTCAGTAGTTTGTGATTACGGTGAGCCCACCGATACAAGAGTCCATTTCTATACAGAGCTGCCAGCCAAGATAAAAATGGCTAACCGCCCACTACCATCAAAACCTATTGATGGGGGCCAGTCCATGTCATAAGAGCTGTGATATTTGTCTTAAAGACTTCTTGCCTTCTCAATTTCTTAGATGCCTTAATAGGTTTCAAGAGAACAATTTTCTATTTGATGTGTGATATATAAATTGTTTTGGCTTTATATAATTTCTTTTCTTTAATTTTTTTTTATATTTGTTGTACATATTAATTTGCCAAGTGATATTTTCATTTGTTTATGTGAAGTTTTCAAAATGTTTTCTTATTATTTACAGTTTAATTGTAAGACTGAAAAAAAAGTTTTCTTTATGTGTATCTTTTCTTTTGACATTACAATTAGTTGCCATTATTAATACTGTTTCTGTTTATTCCCGGAAACAAAACGAATTAATAATGTCTGAAAATACCATAATGTGTGTCAAAAGAATTTTGTTTTTATATTGTAGATAAAACTAATTTGTAATTTCTTGTTAATTTGTATATTGATATTTAAACAAAAACATTAGTCATATAATAATAGAAATGTAAATATTTATATTACAACAATTCAAGTTGTAAATGTGTTAATAATTGTATAAAAAAAACAAAAAAACAAGAAAAAAAAGAACCGAGAATCATTAATTTAACTCTTTTATTTGGAGTATTAAAATAAACATTCCAGTTTATACTATTATATTTATACACTTTGGAAGTCTTAAAAAATTAAAAATATAAATAGTATCCTTTATGCTGTTAAATTTATTTTTGACAATATTGAAACACATTGTAGAATTAATAAATTGTAAAATGACTGAGGTAACGAATGTCAGGTCGAACATAAGTAATAGAAAGTTATTTATATATAAAGGATTTGTAAACGGTGTAAAAGTAGTATTAAAGCACAATATAACAAATTAGTGTGTTAATTAGCAGTAACAATTATTTAGAATCCATTGTACACCAATAACTATGTTTGCTAGTGATAGAATGATATGGGAGACATGTGTATAGTGAGTGGAGTTGTGAGGGTCAGGAGAGGGGGCCTAGATATTGATTGGGCAGGCTCACTCCTAAATAAAATTGTTCAGTTAATAGTTCACAGTATAGGCAACTCTTTTCTTAATTAACATTATTTTAAATAATGTAATAGAAATCCTATAAAAACTACTACTTTATATGAAAAACTACCAATATCGAATAAATGCCTATTTAAAAAATAACAGTATTTGTAAAAGAAGTTATGTTTTTTTTTTAATCTGAAATTTGAAATAAATTATTTAATATTTACATTGTTTTTACCTCAGAGTTTTATTAACCCTATCTCAAAAGTATTTTAGTATTAAGAATATAATTTAATCATTTGCTGTATTTATTTTGTTTTTGTATAAAAACGTCCACAAACAATGAAAAATGTAACTATACTATACAACAAATTATGCCAGAGAATTGAGAATTGTCAAGAATGAAAATTTATTCATATTTTCTGTTTAACTGTTCAAGCTATTCAACCAATTGGACTATTCTAGCCCTTACAAAATTAAATTAAATTATAAAGAATTTACAATAAACTACAAAACACTAAACAGTGGTAATCAAAAAGCATAGGTAATGACAATTAATCACATTTAATAACATTAAAAAAATTATAATATTCCTAAAATTATTTAATTGTTATTTCAGTTCATAAAAGAGAATTATTTTTGCCATTTTTTAAATATTAATTACTCATTTCTTTATTTCTATTAACAACAAAATTACACTTTACTTAATGTAAAATTTACATTATGCAAATTAAATCGGAGGAAGTAAAATTTTAAGTTTTGAAGTCAATCATTTATGCTAAACATGAATCAAAAGATTTGTCTTAAATAATGCGAATAAAAACGCTGGGGTATCAATTCAAATATCTCAACAATACAGCTGACAAACTTCACAAACTAATTCCAAAACCTTATTTTTGTCCTATGAGATTGCTTACCAAACGGAAAGGACAAAAAGTAATTCTTTTGAACGCCAGTGGCTTGATGTACCATAATTTTTCTTATTGACTGAGACTTACTTAAAGAGAAGTATAAGGTTTCACTTACCATCTTCCGACACATATGGAACCGATAATTCTTCAAATAGAGCTAAGAGAGGTACTCTCATTCTTGTTCTTGAAAAGAGCTCAATGAGTCACCATTTCTAAAGCTTTTGAGGCGTATGAGAATTCTCAATCGTGGTTAATTTACTTAATTTTAATCTTACTATCGCAGTTTAAAATAACTCCAGGCACAGGCGGATCTACGGGGGGGAGGGACTTTCGGGCTGAAGTCCCCCCAAAACGGAAAAATATAACCATGTTTTATATAAAAAAATATCAAAAACAATCTCTTAAAGTATTATTGTTCGTGTAATTACATTTGATAGGAATTCAAGAATCACTTAAACACCATTTCATATAGGTAGTTAATTTCTTTCTTTTTTTAAAAATTAATTATCGATATATATTTGAAAAAAAAAAATCTTTCGGGCTGAAGCCCCCCCAAAATTAAATCCTGGATCCGCTAGTGACTCCAGGTAAGAATTTATCAATCCAACTGTTCGCTAAATCGTTACATTCTTATAGAGATTGTTATGTGGCAGAGTTAAGAAATGGTACGCGATGATGGTGCAGCAGGATAGGTAACTCTGGAGCAGAGCACTGCCCAATACCATTCTTGCTTCGGACTAAATTCTTGCCAGGTTACCGACATGTTGGACCACGGATGCTAACAGAATTTCTTACGTTTATGATATTACTTCCTCACTACCGAAGTTTTGGGAGCTTTGGAATAACAAAATTTCCACTCGCGGTTTAAGTTTTAGACCTCATGAAACAAATTTGTTTCCGATCCTGTCAGTAGTCAAATCCATACAACGGGTATGTTAGTCACCTGGTAATCCGATTCGATTAAATCAAATAAATCATATATTTCAACATTTAGCTTAGGTTTATAACCTTTAACAAAATGGCAGACAAGGATATGCAACCAAACGGATTCTCCAAGACCAATTCATCGTAAAGAAGATAATCATTTTGTTGAGAGCTCACCAAGAAATACAGCTTCAGGATGAGATTTAATTACCAATTTTATAATACAAATTTTCCTCGGAAAGCAATTCTTTTTATAATATATATATATATATATATATATATATATATATATATATATATATAATTTATATATATATATATATAATATATATATATATATTATATATATATATTATATATATTATATATATATATATAATAGAATTATATATATATATATAATATATATATATATATATATATATATATATATATATATATAATTCTATTTTGAGAATCACGTCTTTTTCAACTCTGGAAAATATTCCGAAGTTGTCATGATATCAAAAGCTAATAAAATCTCAAAATTTCCAAACTCCTAACGTCTCCATTCCTAGAAATATTTAAATTTATTTCAAAACATCAATTCGGTTTAATAAAATATCACTAAACGATATAATAAATCCATCTATCAGTAAATTATGTTTCTAATTCTTTATAATTTACCCACAAAGAAAGAAAAAAAGGATAATACAGATTTAAATTATAAATGGCCTCGTATCAAAGACGGGCAGCTGTTATTTTCAGTATGAGGAGAAAAAGCCTTATATTTGTTTTATTATTCTTTTCTTTTTTTTTTTATAGATTCAATTAAACCGTTTCTGAATGTTCAAGCTGATATAAAAATATTTATAATATGTTTAAATTGAATAGCTTTTTCTCATTTTAAAAAAAAATGACGGATATTCGTTTTTGATATGAAGCCACTCAAACACTACTCATATATTCTTGTAGTTAGAGCTGACAGTCCGTAACAGTTATCAATTACCGATTTGCCGAACTGAAAAATCTTAATTTTACATTATTATTACTTCGATGTATTCATGTATTGTGATTATACTCTAATTTTTGTGTTGGGCATTGTTTCATAAACATTAATCATAACTTATAAGAAGAGTTGGGCAAATGCTACGTTGAATACCGAGTACAAAGTATTGTATTCAAAGTGAATCAATGTTGGGAATTCAATCACTACTTCAGTTAATCGTTTAACGTCAAGTGAAATAGTAATTAACTTCATTGGTACTCTAAAAATGCCATTATTAGAGTAATATACTAGGTTCTCAATACTCAGAATAGCATTTGCCTATTTCTGCTAATAAGCAGAGAGTTAATCAAATAAATTAAAATAAATATATTTGAATGTCCATTTTTAATAAATTGTAATCAATGAATGAAAAATTGTTTTGTAGCAAGGTGAAAAAGTAATGCTAAAATAAAGTTCTTAAAGTGCGGTTTGATGTTATAGGAACTTGGGATGAGGATACAATAAAAAAAATAAAATAAAATTCTTATGGAAAATGAATATTTTGTTATGTTCTAGAAAATATAAGTATAAGTGATTAAGAATTCTATCCTATTCATTCGGCCCGACAACTCGATATCGAGTCTTGGCCTCCTGTACCCTCCACCAATTGTTCCTATCCTGTGCAGCCGCCATCCAGCTCCTCACTCCCAATCTGGCATCACCAGCCACACCGTCACTCCACCGAAGCCGAGGTCTTCCTCTAGGCCTTGCTCCATATATTACTTCTTTCTGAGTAGGGAAGTAGTTGTTGAAAGAGAATGTCGGACAACACTTTGTATGCACAAGAAAGCAAGGAGATGCCTCTATGATTACTGCAGACTAGCCGATCACCCTTTTTATGGATTGGAAATATTATCGATTTATTCCAAGATTCTGGCTTTCCAGATACGAATCATGATATTCTGAAGTATTTTCAGTAATTCACTTCCTCCACATTTAAATAGTTCTGCAGGCGATTTGTCAACCCCTGGAGCCTTATTATTTTTAAGTTTCGCTAGAGAATTCAAAATATCCTCTTCATCAGGCGGTTCCATTGACTGAAGTAAAGGAAATTGTACAAAATTGTTGCTTCTAATTCTTCTATAAGATCTTCGTTAATAAGCCAAAAGAAACGCCTCTTCCATTCCTCAAGAACATCCACTCTG